TAACAGGTAGACCTACAGATTTGCAGGTATGAATTGATGGCTGGTTGGTTTAAAACATCTGACAGATGGTTTACTGTTGGTACCACAAAGATGATGCTTCTCAAATATTTGAGTGCAGTTCAAATTAATAGAAATGCAAGAAAATAAAAAATAAAAAAGACCACACCACATGTAAAATGAGCCAATGACTTTGAGTAATGTTTGTAAAACAATACAGAATAAACAGTTCTTTGGGGGGGGTGGGGGGGCACCACCCCCAAAACTCGTGACCCTGGGCAACTGCTCTGTAAGCCCTTTATAAAGTCTGGCTCAGAGGTCGTCCCTAATAAAAAAGTCTTCCTTCTCTAAACAGGCTCAGTTCTCCACTCACGGGCCTTCGCTTAGTCGCTTCTGTGGAAATTTAGACCCCTCCCCCTGCTCTCTAGCCCCGTGAGGAAGGCAGTCATACCTGGGGGCCCATGAATGAAGCCCTCAGGTAAAGCGCTGTTGAAACAAATCTAAAGCTGCCTAATGACACGCACCGTGAAACTCTTCACAGGTCATTTACGCTGCTGACAGGCTGCTGCCATAGTTGTGCAAAAACCTCCTGCGCTCAACCTGTTTGTGTGTGTGTCTGCACGTGTGTGTGTGTGTGTGTGTGTGTGTGTGTGTGTGTGTGTGTGTGTGCGTGCGTGTGTGTGTGCGTGTGTGTGTCAGAGGCAGAAATAGGGCAGATAGACACGCTGATAAGGGAGCCAAAGTTAGAGAGCAAGGAAGAGTGAAAAAAAAAAAAAAAACTCATGCTGATATATTTGTGATGTGTGTGTGTGTGTGTGTGTGTGTTAGTTGTATTCTGGGAAGGTAATCTTGTTGCTCTGTAAAGCTGTGGTTAGTCCTTCAGCGTGGTCTCTCTGCATGGGAAAGCTATTAGAGGAGTTGTCTCTACTGGCTGGTCAGTGCTTTAAACATGCTTTAGTTTTGCTTTGTTTTCCTTTAGTGAAACAGCAGATGTCTCTGGAAACTTCCGCGTCATATTGATCTCCAAAATGTTCACATAATCCAACACAGTAGTTTGTGACTGTCTCTGTACTCGGCTCTGCAGAAGGATTCTCATGCTGGGGATGGATACACATAAACTTCTGATTAAATACATTGAAGCATGGTATTTAATTGTAACAAAATGTACACAAATGTGTCAAGATGGAATAATTTTGGAATAATTAACAAATAATCATTAACTCCTTCTCAGCTATATTTTTAAGCTAACATGCGTTAGCTTTAGCCAAGGATCTTATACATTACGCATTTAGACAGTCACTCCTAAAAATTAAACCTTTAGTCTATGTTTTTCCAAGTCTACTGTTTTCTATTTCTCAATAACATTAAGTAGTGAGGAGGTCAGAATTTTGTGCCTTTGATGAAACAAGATTCCAACAAACACAATTTAAAATTTTGGAATATTTTTTAAGTCAATATTTTCACAATGGAGGTCGAGGAAAAGAATATTTTTGTTTGCCGAGCAGTGCTGATTTCCAAATAACCATCAGCTCCTTCTTACTCAGACATATTTTTAAACCACATTTCCGTATATTTATTGTACTCGCTGAAAAGACCGCTTCCATCGTTCGCATTTAAGAAAATATTCCACGTTGTTTTCTTTGCATATCAGATGACACAACACTAATCTGCCCATCACACGCTCCCATTTATCCCGAAATTGCTCCCAGACCTCTCTCCGAGGGCCCCCGTTCCCGACGCCGTTTAATGTCTCTGCATATAAAGTTCAAGCTTGCAAACTCTGCTCTGCTGGAAAACGAAAACATCCACACAAGAATAGACAGTTTAAACAGGTGCTATGGTAACATAATTGTAACTGCGGCAATTACTGCCGAATGCCCAACTAACAGTCATAAATCATTCTTTTTCCGACAAAGGGGAACGTTGTGGCGCTCCGCTCCTATCCGGTAATCAGAAATTGCTCCGTGTAACGTGTGACGGCAGGGCACTGAAACGAGCCTTTCTTCTGCTCGCCGCCTGATATTTCGCTCCGAGTGCAGCGACATCACAGGGATCCTTCAGCGACCGTGATATTGTACCTGCTCAACACCTGTTAGCTTTAGCCAGGGGTTTCATCAAATAGTTGAAATAAATACACTAGTCATCATCATAACCATAATCATAGTCATAAAAAGAAAAAAAAACAAAACAGGGGGCCTTTATACTGTTGCCAAATTGCCCTGCCATGTGATTTACAATCAGACTGAGGTTGGAGAGGGGGAAACCGATAGGGGCAGAGGAGGAATAAATAATCAAACACACACACCTGCGGACCACCCGTCTCTCTCTCTCTCCCTCTGACACACACCTGGGAGCTCTAACAGGCGTGTAACGGGGTGGGAATGGCTCTGAGGGAGGAACACTGACAAATTATCCCGGGATCACAAAGACCAACTTTGTCCTCCCTTCCTTGGAACACAGCAGCGCAGCAGGTGAGTGTAATGATAAGACAAATTATCCCTCATATTAAAATAATCCCTCCTGTCCAATAACAATAATATTCTCCACGCCGAGGCGGCGCCTGACGTCCACAATAAGTTTCGAACAGCAACCTGTTGAAAACAGATTTGAGTGTTTTGTGAAATAAGGCCATGATGACTACTTGACCTGTCAGCAGCTCCGCAATACGCAGAGGTTGGGATAAAGGGAGCCAACGAGCGCCATGAGGGAGCGCTTCTATAATGACTCCAGATCCTGAGCAGCTGGTGTGATCCCGGCAGGAGAGTCACCGACGCAGCCTTAAAATGTGGACGACATCAAAACAGCTGAAGCTGCACCTGGGAAAGACTAGTTTTTAATCACCAAGTTACGTCCTCGACTTTTCAGTCGGAAGGAAAATAGTATGATACAAATGTGAGATGTCTCTCATGTCTGCCAAGGGTCTAGGCTTGTTTGTAAGCTTTTAACATGGTTTTGATCAATTCTGACTAAAATGAATGTTATTTGGGGGTGTTTCTTAGGTGCGCTCTCACCAACCCTGTTTAGTCTGCTTTAATCAAACTTTAATTTGTTTGTCTAGAAAGTCTGGTTCATGTGGGGGAGGTCTGCATCCAACTCTGATGCAGACCAAAAACGCAAATTCTAGTCTGCCTAAAAACCCTGGTCTCTGTTTGGTTCAAGTGAACCAAAATGAACGGATGTAAATGCCAAGTGTACCATAGAGCGCTCCAAAAGCAGGAAGTGGGCTACAGAGCAGGGAATTCTGGGTAAATGCAACCAAAACAAACACGGCAGTCTAATGCTAGAGGGATTCATGGCTGGTGGTCTTTTACCAAATACAAGAGAAATCCTACAACTGTTAAAATCAGATAATATTTTGTGTTGCATTTTGTGAAGAACGAAATTGCGCTCAGTGTCTTCTTCAGAGGTCATCATGTTTCCTTCAGTGGTTCTTAAGGGTTTTTCAAATAGTTTGATTTGTTTGACAGTGCAGTATGAAAGAAAACTGCAGCAGCTGAAAATGTAACAAATGTTGCAATCTTGATCCCCAATCGAAACAAGTCTACGGGAGCATTAGGTGTGAAAACACCCTGACTTTGCCAAGCAACAGAACTCAAAATATGGAGGGAATCAATGTGATGTCTACAGAGAACAGATGTTCCAATTTAAAATGGGATTTTTATGTTATTCTGTTAGCCTGGCCAAGCCTAGCAACAAGGTTGGGAAATTAGTTTTACTATTGTTAAACGCCTAGCAGGGATCATAATTATTTTTCCACTCCCAAACTGAAATACTAATGAGAACCTGATAATTTTACAATATTTATCAGCACAAACAGGCAGCAGCAATTCCATCACCTCATTATCAAAAATTATTAATAAAATTAGCTGCCAAAAATTACATTTTAAGTTGTTGCGGCTAACTGTATTTACATCAAACAGTTTTAAGGTTCAGTTAATTATCTCCACTTGTAATATTTAATCAAGATTGCTCAGCCTGTGATTCTCAAGAGAAAAACTGAAAAAAATTAACTGATATGTGCATCTTTATACTTAACTCTGTAAACAGCTTCTTCCTTCTAAAATGTATGTAAGTTTTTAACATTTTTGTGTAAAATTTGAAACAATACCGTTTGGCTTTTAAAAAAGGCAGATAAAAAATCAAACAAACAAAAAAAAACATTTTGCATTCACATAAATCCACTGGTTATGTAGGCTTTGTCGTATTTCCTGGTCTTTTATCTTGAGCTACAGTAAAAACAACTTGGGCTAAAATGAGGAATGTTGAGCCTCTCGTTAAGATACACTTATTTGGTTTAACAGATAGGAAAAATATAAATCTTTTAACACATTACCATCAAATTATTACTTGCCTCTGTCACCGTTTTTCTTTTCACTGTTATAAACTTCTCCAGCTGTACCCCTCCCTCAGCTGTCGTCCGGTGTTTGGGTAGTCTTCTTCTTCTACTGGGTTTAACAAGCTGACAAATTTGAGCACTGCTGCCACCCAGTGACTGGAGGATTGTTCATCGGTCAACCGGGAAAAGACAAAGTCCTCCTGCGTCTTGTCCAAGGACACCAATGGAGACAAAGAAGGGGTTCAAACCAGCAACCCACCAGTCACAATACAAATTAATTATCAACTCCTGAATCAGCACTTCATACTGATATGTTTAAAATTTAGAAATAAACATGAATGAACCTGTGCTGTGTGACTTTAAACTCAGAAGCTAATAAAATTTTCATGCTAAAACTTTTAGTGTCTTGTGTATTTTGCTTTTATTCCAAATGTTTCATCTTAAATGATATTTTAATCACTTTAAACATGTGACTTAACACATGACCATGAATTTAAAATGTGGAAATAAATATAGGGAAATTACTGCCTGAAACTGAAATTAAGTGCACAAAGTGTCAGAGCACAGTGCCTTGCAAAAGTAAGGAATTGAACTACATGCACAAATATCAATATATTTCACCGAGACTGTATGTGATGAATTGAAAAAAAAAAAAGCCCAACAATAAATAACTCAGAATCTGTTTATTGTTTGCTGTTGATTGTGAAAAAAACTTTCAAGTGAGTGCAGTGTTAAAAAAAAAATCAGATTCAGCTGTCTGTACACATTTTGCACAATAATTGCAAAAAATAAGTGTAAAAAAAAAAGAGTGAAAAAAGTGTCATGTCAAGATTTATTCAAAAATATTCTTATCGCATTCAGTCTCATCAGCATGAACTTATTTCAAGGTTCAAAATAGATCAGACATTTGCTGCAGCTTTTATGCTAGCGTCTGCTACAGTAATGTTCAAAACTCTGATTCTGCTCAAGTCAGAATCAACTTATAAAAAATTAACCAGAACAGTTTCAGTCAGTCAGACAATAGAAAACATCCACAAATTTTTAACTATATGGCATAAACCAAGTGAAGAATATCATTATCTTAACACTGCATTTTTTAATTAAACTATTCTTCAAGTCACTGTCAAATCATTTTGTATGTGCAGGAACTATTTTAGGTGAAAGAAAGTAAGGCCACTGCTGGTTTGAAATGATAAACTGATTATCAGCAATAAACTGATTGCTCGCAGGCAGTTTATCACGAGACGTTTTTGTCCGTCAGGATGGAGCTCCTCTAAGGTTTTGAACTGTTTTGCATTCTCAGCCGCCTCCGGGCCAAAGCTTCCTGCTTCTTCCTCTCGATCTCCTCTGCAGAGCACTTCCCTGCAGTCTTGCTGGTGACAAAAACTGGAACAACCGAAGAACAGAAGGACACATTCAGGTGAAAAAAAAGAAAGACCAAGACATATGTAATGAAAATTGGCATTATGACTGATTTGTGATCTAAAGTATTTTACCTTATTTTCATGTAACAACTACAAGGATTAATGTGCGTCATTGAGGTTTTCTGAGACAATCCAACACAAAGTTCAGAATAATTGTAAAGCGCAAGGAAAATAATGGCTTCTAGAAAAACAAAAAAATCTAAAAAGCGTGACTTACATCAAGGGTTTGTATACTTTTCCCATGGTGAAATTCAAGCACTTTTCAAACATTTTCAATTTTAGTTTTAAAGTTTTCCAGCACCACACTTTGGAGATTAAAAAACAAGTTAGAATTAACTAAATTATTTTATAAGACATTAAATTTGTTATATTTTAGTTTACCTTGTCTCTGCTGTAGAAAGTTGACTGCTATCACAAGATATTACTAATAACAGTAATAAATGATACATAATAGTGAATAGAAACTGTCTTCTTTAATTAATTTGTGCAGTTCTCATTATATTGTACCATCTTACCTTTGTTGTTTGTGATGGCTGAGTCAGACACATTCCTCTTGAATGCTGCATGCTGGGACATGGAGTTCTGGGCGACTCTGGTCATCGCTGGATGAGGCTTCATAGCCATGTTGCCATGGGAGAAATCTCCACCCGGACCAACTTGGCTACCTGGGAAGCTTTGAGAAATCCCTGATTTGTTGTTGCCGCCTTTCAGAGGAATGTTCCATCCTTGGTAGTTTCCGGTTTCACGGGAAGTCAAGAGCAGCGAGTAGGAACGAACGAAAGAACCCGATGATCGTCTGTTCGCACCAACACCAGAACTCCCAGAGGATTCGGCGTTGACATCACAATCTCTCATGTTCTGGCGTCTGTCTACAGGCCCTTTCGATTTTTGTCCCTCACAGATTTTTGGAGCCGCTTCATCTGGCTGGCTGTTGGAAACCCTCTCCACGCTGTCGCACACCTGGTAGAGGAGGGCGTCGTCATCGCCGTTGTCCCATAAACTGTCCGAAACGTCTTTAACCAAAGAGGACTGCTGAAAAAACTTCACTCCATTAGTCACTTTTTCGCATTGTGGATTGGAGTTCGTCTTTATGGTAGCAGGTTTCTGCTCTGTGCTCTTCGATTTGGGTTGTACAGCAGTAGAACCAGACTTTGCAGCTTCCTTATCCAGCATAGTCTGAAAGTGAGGATTGGATTCCAACTTAAAAGTGCTACGAGTTCTAGTTTTTGGTTTTGGACACAGGTCCTGCAGCAAACCGAAACTTGTTTTACACGGCTTCTCCGGCTTCTTATTCATAGTTGACTGGAGAGCAGAAGCTAACTCTGTAGTGTTTGTGTGAGACTTTGGTAAGGTCTTAGGAGGATTGCTTGGATCTTGCGTCAGTGCCAGGATCAAGGAGTCATTGAGTAGGTCGTCATTGTCCCAGTCGTCCTCAAAGTCAACCAAGTTATTTGTAGAGTGCTTTTCTGCTGGTTTGGGTTCTGACTGTCTCTGGTCAACAAAGGCAAGAGTCTCTGCTAGGTCCTGTCTGTCTTGCGAAGAGACCGAGCCTTCGCTCAACCTGCCGCTGATTCCCTGGGTGGACGAGTCAAACAGAGCCCGAAGCTCTGCCTCCGCCTGTTCCGACAAAGATGGACACCTCGGTTCTTTGACGACGTTTTCAGAGACGTCCGCAGTGTCACGAAGTCTACCGGTGACGGTGTTCTGTTGGGCAGAAGTCTCCTCATCTTGCTGCATGTTTTTATCAAACTGCTTGGCAAGTTTCATGAGATCCTCCACACTGCTCTGTCTGTTTGGGATGAAACAATTATCAAGAGGTAAGAAGAATTAGCTTCTACAGGTGAAAATAGTGTGTGAGACTTTGAGACTTGAGAGTGCTATTGTGATTTCACACCTGGAAGACCTTTTCCGGATTCGTTGCTTCGGAACGTCAGGGGTGCAAGGGATCGCGCCATCGTCGATCCAGTGCAGCAATGAGGATTCGGTCACTTTGCGTTTTATATTCTTTAAAAGATGCAAATTGAAGGAAAACAAAACATCTCAGAAGTTTTTAAGATTGAAGATGAATGCAATGATGAAGGTGAGGATAAAACGACTGACCTTCGGAACAATGCGGTTCACAATATCAGAGATTTTCACAGCTCTGGTGTTCTTGTATCCTTGACCTAAAGGGACAAGAGAAAGGTAGAAGCAATGCGATCATATCTGTTTAACATAAACCGAGCTGTACAGTGAACCTCCATCCCAATAGCGTTGGGCATTTATCATGTCGTTTAACATTTATTGTAAAAAAGTTCTTAGAAGAATTTTGATGTATTATTTCAAAAATGTTAAATTAATGATGTTGAAAAAGCAAAACAGACCATATTGTCAGAATTGTTATTATTTTTAACTAGTTTTCTCAATTGTTTGTTCCATTTAAACATAAAGAAATATCAGTAAATCCAAAAATGTAACTTAATGCAGTTACTGGGTGGAGTTTATTGATATAAATCACACTTCTTCAAGTCAGTCCCTCCAGCAAGTTACGATGTTGTGCTTGCAGGTATTAACGCAAGAGCAATATTTGTGTTTGAGGCATTATTAATACAGTGCCATGTAGTCACAGTCATAGAGTCACCTAAAAAAAGAAGTAATAAATTGTTTTTTATGGTCATTTTTAACATTAACACAATAGTACCAAAATAAAGTCACTTCTCTCCCTCCACCCCCAAATTTCTAACAAAATTGCTGTTACTACACTTGACAATATATCCTGACAATATATTTCACACATGATCAGAGCATCCAGTCAAACAGCACGGATTCGTTACCAGTGTGAGTTGGGGATGTGCCATCCCAGAAAATGTCCTGTGAAGCCTCAACATCTCCTGGAGACTCTGTCACGTTAGAGCCAAGGAATCGGCTGCTGCTGCTGCCTCGGAGCCGAGGACTCTGCAAATCTGTGCGAACAGGAGTCAAGTGTTAGTCACAGGCTGTCCTGAAACATAAACATTGGAATCACAATAAAAACAATTTGACAAAAAAAAAAGCATCATTACAGCTTATTTATTTATAGGAGAATGTACAGATAAAGCGACTATTTCTGAGGCTATTTTTGTGGAAGTATTGAGGATTAAACTTAGGACGTTTCCGAAACTTCAACATGTCTGATTTAACCTGAACGAACCAGAACTACTTTCCTCCTCCTCACCGTTACATCCAGGAGAAGTTGCTGTGGCTAGCATCTGCTGTCCGCCTCTCCTGGCCTGTCTTTTGCCGCGGTCAACTTCAGAGATCTTCCTCCACAGCTCGGAGAACTCAGGGCTGCCAGCAGCAGCTTCTGCCCCCGGCTCCGACATGGCTCGCGGGAACCATTATTCTGTTAACTGTTTCAAAGGAATACTGGAGGGCCGAAAACAGCGCGGCTCGCGACCTGCTGGGTGTAGAAAAATCTCTGTTTTGGGTCTTTGCATTCAATCGAAGTGAGCCGCCATGTTGTTATCCTGTGACGTCGGTAACCTACGGATGCCGAATAGGTTTTGACTCTGAGCTGGGATAAACGTCGAGCTCATTTGACGCGTGAAGTGAAAGGGTAATGTTTTTTATGTTTTTTTTATTCATTATACTTGTTAATTATTTATTTAAAAAAGCAGTGAGTATTGCATAGAAGCCCTTTTCCGCCATGAAAGAAAAAAAAGCTCAACAGGAAGTCATAATTACAACTTTCAAAGTAATAAATTTGACTTTAAACGTCCTAATTATAAGATACAAAGTCATAATTCAAACTTATAAGTCATAATTATGATTGAATTGTGATTCAATCATAATTATGAGATCCAGGAGCAAGACTCCTTAGAGAAACAGTATCCATCTCATAATTATAATTTTGAAAGTCAAAGTTATGACTGTGTCTCATAATTATGACTTTAAAAGTCAAAATTATTACTTTGAAATTATGACTTTTATTCTCATAAACATAACTTTAAACTTGTAGTTATGACTTCCTGTTAAGCTTTTATTTTTTATTTCATGGCGGAAATGGCCTTCATAGATTTAAGCTATGATCATAAGAAAATGTCTAAGTAATCGGTTTTCTTACCGTATTGTAAAACTATTTAACTTCAAGTACCGAAAACACACCATAGATTACATCATGTCAACTTTTATCAAATAACAGGAAAAAGTGCATAAAATTGAAAACCCTCGAAATGCATAGTGGCTTTTTAAAGTCTACACAATTCTATTGAAAGTAAAATTGCGCTGTTGCCATTGCCTAAAGTGTGCCTAATCCTTTGTTGAATCACCTTTCCATATTCTTTTGGCATCTAATTTTCTTTATGGTACATTATACACTTGAAAAATATCTAATACTTGATGTAGATCCATGCTTTCTCTTATTATCAATGTCTGTCTTTATTGTACCAAAGTATATAAAAATAGTGTCTATTTTTGTTCCCATCTCCTGACTCATACCTTTTATACAAAAATGTGAGATTATTTTTAGTATTTAAACTTCTCTGGAGATGGTGGTTATAGGTAAAAATGCAAATGAGATTAAAAGAAAATTCTGAATAAAGCATGTTTTGAAAATAACCTTTGAGCAGGTAATAAATATTCTTTTCTTTTACTATTGTGCAAATGTAATATTCTGAATATTGTTGTTCAGATGTAATATTCTAATGTTCAGTGTGTTTTCATCAGCTACAGGCAGATAATCATCATGATGAATGGCTAAAAAAACAAACGATAAAGCCTATGAAACATTGATCTGCTTGCAATTAATCTACATAATATTATGCCACTACTGAAATAAACAAACATCAATAATTTGCTAATTTATTGAATGGGACTGTATATTTTAGGGTTGTTACACGTATACTAAACTCCTGACTGAGTATGTCTCAGTTTTAAAGTCACGGTTGTTTACGGTGCGCTTCAATGAAGACAAACAAATAACTGTTTTCCACTTGAACTTTCTTGACCCTGAATGCACCTTAAGCGTTCAGCCGTTAGGGATGTCCCCTCTCCGTTTAAAGCAGTCGGGGAACAATCTACATTAATCTTCTCTTGGATCTTACAGATAATATTTATCAAGTTAGGTCTTGGATTTTATTCAAAGAAGTACTTATTTTTAACTTTTATTTACTTTTTGTTGGCATAAAAATAGTTCAGTTGAGCATGATAGCGCCAAATGAAAAATGACTTTTGTGCTGACAAGGTTTCAACAGAGCGGTTGCTAATAAGCTGTTGTTGCAACATGTCTGTGTTCTTACAGATGGCATCATCTTCTTCTTATCTCTGAAAACTGAGTTTTGCAGTGAAGCTAACTGTGTTGTTTATTTAATGATGTCATGACAATTCACCTTTATGATTTCAGTGAAATAATACCCAAAATATTTTGTTCATAAGGAAGTGAAAAGCTCTTTTTCTCGTGGTTCTGTGACAGAACTAGCATTCTAGATTTATGCTAATTGGTATTTATTGGTTTCATGTAATGTTTTCTCATTATGCAAATAATTTAAGCAGTTTAAAATGTAAAATATTCTTGTAAAGTACTGCATGTGTTTCACCATGATTTTTATTTAGCTTTTTCTCAAATTAGCAAATTTCACAATTTTTTAAATAAATTATAATTATTATTATTATTATTATTATTATTATTATTAAAACTAATAAAATTAATAATTTCAGTTCAACATCTGACTTTCTGCAGAGTAATTTCCTGAAAAAATCACTAGATGGTGCTTGCAGCCCTTTTTGATATTCTCCATACTGTACATGTTTCTGTGTCTGTGCATGAAAGGATACAGTAAGGAACACTCAAGGAAAACTGGATGCAGATTTTGTAAATAAATAAATAAATAAATCTTCCATTGAAATTCTGCGCTGCAGTGAAACTATTTTGGAATAGGCGACACAGGCCCACGTGCGCATGCAAGCTGCGGCAAATTACTGGCCTTGATTATACTTGATTCTGCTTTGATTGTTTTCATTTGGAAGCAGTTTATCAGTACGAAGAAACCGAGACACCAATCAACCGTGCCGCTTTGATAGAACGCCAGCAACTGTTACGAACAGATGACCTGGTGTTCGAGCCTCGACTTCCACAGTTAGAGCATAATTCTTATTTTATCAAAACAGCAGCGGATACTTAGGACCATGTGTTGATAAAATTCACAAGAGCTGAAAGGAAAGGAAAAGTATGTCATTGTTGAGGTATTTCCCAGTTGCACTACAAAGGGTGGGCTAGGGGGTCCCATGGCCCTTCCTAAATAGGTTATAGATCCCTGCCCCACAGTCTTAAATGTTTTTTTAACCACACATATAAGAAATGAAGTTTAATTTACTCTTTTGTGTATTTATTACACTTTTAATATTATTATGCATTGTTTTTGTGCTGTTAGCACAGACCAGCCCTTTCCAAATTTCAAATTTAGGAGAATTCAAGAGAGAAAATCATGAACAGTAAACATTTTGGAATCTATAACAAGCATGTTGGAATATATACTGGATCTGATTATTGCTTTGAAACCGCTTGAAAACATGAAACCACCAAATAAAAAAAAGATAAAATCACCTTCCTCCTCTTTTTGGGAAAAAAATGTGATTTTTAATTTTATTATCAAATCATACACAAATAAAACTCTTTAAACCACACTCCTCCCTCTTTGACCCCCAATTGGATGTAGTTTTCTACTGGTGATCTGAAAGGGTTTTTACTACCAAAAAAATCCAAAGTATTTACAGTCATGTAGAGTTGATTAGCTAAGTAAATAGGGGACTAGAAATAATGTGATTCTAATATTCTTATACTTACTCAATTAAAAGGCAAATTAAACACTGAATATGTACAGTAAATCACCAATGAATTATAGAAATGTATTTTTAACCAGCACACATGTAAGTTATAAATACCATGACTAAAATCAATTTCCTTCTGTAAAACACTCAGCTGCCAAACATCTAGCACATTTTAGATCTGCCGTTTTATTTATTACTTTCATGGAATTTGTTCTGTTTCTTCATTTCCCATTTTGGATTTACAAGAAAAAAAAAAAACAAAAAAAAAAAACATAAATATCTTAGCACTGCTGCCAACATATAAGTTAAACTCAGATTCAGTGTTAGATCTGTAAATCAAATTTTTACAAAGTGCCTAAGATAAATAAGACAAAAAAAGTTGTGTATTCTTTCATTTAGGATTTATAAGTAAAATATGCCATGTAGATATGAAATAGAAATGCGTGGGAGTTCTAAAATGTTAAAGTTTAATTCATCAGTGTTTGATATGTAAAACATATCAAACACTGATGAATGTGAAAAATACCAAAATAAAATATTTAATTTCAAAATCAACACTTTGTGTTTCATTTAAGATCTCAGAATGTATTTGTATTTTCACCAGTGTGACTAAAATGCATAAAATACAATATTATAAATATATAATACTAATTAGTTTTTGCGCTCTCACCTTTTTAAGGGAAAATTTGGAGCGTTTTTTCCTTCTTAAAAACACGGCCATTGTGATACTGCGGAGACCAAACGGCACATTTCTGCCTAGAGGCCATTGTCATGTTAGCGGCGTAGCTGCTGTCAATGTTAAAGAGGTTAACTGGAACCGCCAGAATGGATGTAACAGTGATTTAATCAACAGTTAGCCACGTTTTTATGCCTCCCCTTAATGCATTCAGCTAATCTTGGGGGTATCCCCATTGCTCCGTGAAGCGAGCTGTGTCATATCACGTCGCAGCAAAAAAATAAAAATAAAATCCACACCCGGGGGGCAGCGTCTCCTGCCCCCTGAAAAGTCACAGTAACACCCTCTGTCACACTGAATGTTAGCATTTCTCAGAAGTGATAGTTAGACCACAGCATAAAGGGCATGGATATGTCAGTTTGAATCTGAATATGAGCCATCAGCCTGCCTTGTGTTTTTTTTTTTTTTCCTCTCTTCCTCCTCTCCTCTGTGAGCTTTCCACAACTGTGTTGAAGCTGAAAAAAAAGGGGAGGGGGAGGGAAGGGAAACGAAAACTCCGCCATAGGCTGCGCAGGGTCGACGGAGAAATAAGGCTTTTATGTATACTTTCCAAGCTGGTATGTTTCATTCCCATAAGTCTGTCTTTTCACCCCTAACTGCCTACCCCCTTTTTCTATTTATTGGTTACGCCTGGGTTGTTTAGAGGCAATTAAGGAGCTAATTGTGGGGATTTCTGAGGACTGGGTATTATAGTAAAAAGTAAAGAGCTAATGGCTAATTGCCCAAGCAGCTGCTAGTGTTTATGAAGGAGGAGCGAACATGCCAAGGGATATACCAGGCGTAGACAGCAGTGAGAGCGAGTGTGTGTGTGTGTGTGTGTGTGTGTCCGTGTACGCTCTGAGGTAGCGGAGGCTCATCATTGCTGTGGATCCAAGGGACGATTCACTGGGCAGCTGCCAGTTGTGCGAGGATAAAAGCTAAATTCACAAAAGTGTTGGCATAAATAATAATCACCCCTGATGGTCTCTGATGATACATCTCCAGTGTTTGTATGTAAAGGGTGCATCCCAAT